TAACTCGTATCGGTGTAATTAAGAGGTGGGGCGCGGGTTCAACAAACGGAAACTTGTAATGGAAAGTTTGGGGGGTGTGAGGGTGTGTGGGGGGACAGGCTAATGTTTTAGTGCTGACGGGAGGGTGACGTTAGGGTGACGGGAGGGTGACGGGAGGGTGACTAGAGGCTATAGGGGTTAAAGGTTAAAACATGCTGGGATTCAGAAGCGGTTCTTTAGCATGTCAAAGGACAGAACGCCAAAGATTTGTTTCAAAATATTTAGTGACTACATGTAGGCTTAGTTAACGTATAGTCCTTGTGAACACACGTAAGTATATAGGCTAAAACTAGAACCAATTTTATTATTTATCTAAGTATAAAATTAGCTCGACCGGTAATTTCTCTTTAAAAGAAATTTACCCGAACGTGCAGTTGTCAGAATGTTCAGTTTCCTAAATGGTCATGGGAAGAAATGTATTTCCGGAAAGGAAAAAAAATAACATAAAAAGAATGAATTACTTTCTCCTAGATATAAAAAGAACTGTTATTTTTTTTAAATAACGAACGGACTCTAAATGCATTCTTGGTTTATGAATTTCAACAATACATAGACAAGTGTAATTCTTATTATGGCTAGTTGATATCAATTTGTAAATATAAACGTCTCAATTTATACGAAAGATATTTTACAAGTTTGTTAACTAATGTTGCTACTTTAAAACAAAGACATCTAAAAAAAGTGCCGGCTATTTTTCGCTGTTTTATAATAAGTTTCTTAAATCTTAATTAAAGAAAATCATTAAAAATTAGTATTTAGGCCCTCATCTCTGGTTATCGTTTAATCCATTTATCCCGTCCTTTGAAATGCATCGGTAATTAAGAAATTTGGCTAATTATCAACATGTTGAGCTCCACTAATTGCGACAGTGGCGCCTACTTGAGAGGTCCGCCGTTGCCATGGTGACAAATTAACTTTATGAACTCGTCACCCCCAGGACTGTGAACAACTAAGGACTGTGGCGGGTCCTCATGAATAAATTCATGTCGTAACCAAGCAGGGAGAAGCGAGCCTGTTTTCGGCAAGATGGCCACTGGCTAAAGGGGAGAGAACAGCTAAGGGGAGAGCATCAGTCCGAGGTTGTTAAACGCGCGAGGGCGCTGATGTTTGGAGAGCGATCCTGAAGTCACGGTGCAAGGAGGAGAGCACTCGGAAATCTGTCACTGCTTCGTCAGGGGCATTGTCGCCCCTGCGTGTGGTCAGTCAACCTTGACGGAGCTGGCAGATTGCGTAAAGATGGCGACCACTGATAAAAAGGGGGACTTCACTCTATATTTTGATCAGGGGAGGCTAGAGCCATTTAATGATCTTTAATGGCGGGCTGGTGAGCTTTTAAATGACTGTGTGTGGAGTTTGGTTTGAAGCTGGGAAACTGGATTGAGAGAAGTGTATGTTTGGTTTTTTTAAATCCACAGATGACATAGTGGATATAGGCCTACATATGAGACACCCCATGAAAATAACAATTACATGTCTGTAGAATAACAGTAGTTATGAGGCTTGGAATCAACTCAAGGTTGTTTTTTTTTTTTTAGAGTTGTAAGATATCAACCCATGTTGTCAAGGGGATGTGCACTTGAAATAAAACTAGCAGGTCGTTCGATTAGGAAAAAAAGTTTAGTTTTAGATGGTGTGCACACAAAATAGACGACAGCTTAACTGAGTCAGTAAATTATAGGAAAATCACATCAAGTAAGGTGTTCGGCGTGGTCGAGTCGGTAAAGCTCATGGTTGCTAAACCGCTCATGGTTGCTAAACCGAAAAGTCTCGAGTTCGAACCCTCGGGCAGATGAAGCTCGTTAGCTGGGGAGAGACAACTCCAAAATGAAACAACTGCTGCCTTGTAGTTTGTTCTTGGTTGGACAAAGGCTATGGAAGCAAATCCAAAAAGAAAAGCAGGCTGAAATCGGAGTCAAAGGCCTCAATGGCGCATAACCAGTTGACACATACACTTAATTGTGTTGGAGGGGAATCCCTTCCAACCGTAAAATGAAGAAGAAGAAGATAAAAAGTAGATAACTGTTCCACTGCTAGCCACTCCTAGTAGCAACAAATCAGATAATTTATACCTTGGCGCATGCGCAATGTGTTTGTCTTAAAAACGGGAATATTTGAAAAAAAAAATCTTTTTAAAGCGTTAAAATCAATCTTGAATGTTCGGCGAAACAGGTGAGTTAACCACCTTAGTGAGGGGCGGTTTAGAGTTGTCCTTGTTCAAATATTGAACCAGGCGGGGGATGTTGGAGAAAGATATTGTGGGGGACGGAAGGGTTTACTTGTATCAACAACCGCCGGGATGGGGTCCACGGAAATGAGATGTAAATTCAATGTTGATTTATTTGCTGGAGGTGTATCGTTACAATATAGTTAAAGCTGAACACGTTCATCGGCAGTTTAACTTTAGCTACATTTTAGCTAGGTGTAGCAGTCTTAAACTTCAAGGCCATTCGAAGGTGTGCCATATATATATATATATATATATATATATATATATATATTATATATATATATATATATATATATATATATATATATATATAACGAGAGAGAGAAAGAGAGAGAGAGAGAGAGAAAACGTAAAGATTCAATTTCTTTAGTTAACGCTGCTGAATTCGGCCATCCTGTGAGGCGTCGACAGGACCCACCAGGGAGGTAACCCATCCCTGACTGGGCTGTGAATACACGGCCCTTGGCTTTTAGTTTGATGAAGTACTTGAGATGTTTTCAGTCAGCCACACGCAAACCTGCTAAGCAGTTAGGGCTAGGTGGGCTAGGATACAGTAGGATGGGGGGGTGATATATTGTATGGGGGGTGGGGTGAAGACAGGGGGTAGGTGTAGTGGGAGGGGTGGGATCGGGATGCAGATTGTGTAGGGTAGTGGTTCTTAACTTTTTTGGTGGTACCGAATCCCATCAGTTTTTTATGCGCATTCACTGAGCCCGTCCTAATAGTGCTATCTTCCGCACTGACAAAAATCTGATCGTGAATCACATGATTCGGTTTGTCTCTTGATTTCCGCTGAACCCCTGACACTAACTCGCCGAACCACTGGGGTTCGATCAAACCCGGGTTGAGAACCACTGTTCTAGGAACATTGAATACATATTCCACTACGGCGGTCCATATGTGACCTCGCTATATGAAGGGATAGTGTGGCCGGCACTATACCCAGCACTATGCCCAGCACTATGCCCAGCACTATGCCCGCACTATGTCCGCACTATGCCCAGCACTATGCCCAGCACTATGCCCAGCACTATGCCCAGCACTATGCCCAGCACTATGCCCAGCACTATGCCCGCACTATGTCCGCACTATGCCCAGCACTATGCCCAGCACTATGCCAATCCACCTACCCTATCTGGGTGCACTAAGTGACGTCATACGGATATGAGCTTTGGATCCGAACTCGAGACTTTCGGTATTAACAGTCGTGTGTTTTACATCCGACCGCGCCTACCCATACGTTCTACTTACAAACGCGCTATACACATTTTCTTGAATAATAAATTTGTTGAATCATGGCTGATTACTAGATTTTAAAAAAAAATACATTTCTGAATAGGTTATGGGATATCGCCAAATTTTTTTTCTACGTTATCGAAGTTTTCTGGAGTGGATTAGTTTAACTATCGTACTTTAATTTTTTTTAAAACATACACTCATTTTTTAGGCATAAAAATTGCGTACAAAATAAAAGTTTAAAAATAAATTGAATTTAGTGAAGACATACAAAAAAATAAGAATAAAAAATACACGTAATAGCTGCGACTTGTTTACAAAGACAATTTAGACCATAGTATAAAAATCATTCTATATTTAGAGCTGTTTGTTAGATCATTTGTGTTTGGGAGTCAAGGAGTCTAAATTTGGTCATTTCGTGATGGCGTCTAGTGGCAGTGGGTGAGGCTAGATATGTAGAGGCCCCTCCCTGTCACGTTTAGAGGGGGTGGGGATAGTGGTCTAGGCGTGTCTGGGGATGTTAGAATAACCTCACCCAGTGTATTAGGAAATCTATGCTGCCTTAAGTTAAAGAGAATATAAATCGTAGAGAAATCTGAAGTTTTTGTATAGAGGAGAAACAGACGCTATTCAGTGTGTAGTGCGAATGAAGTAGTGTTCACGTGTTTTTTGATATCGGCATTGAAAGAGATAGTATGGTCTTTTTTATACCAAGTCGTCTTTACTTTCCCTAACGCGATCCAGGTACTAACTACAGCTGAGTAGGCTCTCTACGGTCCGGAAGCTTAATTAAAGTCCTGTCGTCTTATGAAATATGTGTGCACATCTTTTTTTTGACACAATCCCTTATAAGATTTCTGCTGTATGTAAAGTTAGATCACCTCTAAATAATTGTAATCCCGCCCCCCCCCAACATGTTTTACAAGACTGCACTTTATAGCAACAGACACGGTCTCGACTCTGGCTCCAAAACACCCAAACACCCCACTTAGAGACAAAATCTACGGGGCACTTGATGACCCCTGACACTGACCCCTATGATAAGATCCTTGACATTAACCCAATCCCAATGACCCCTGTGACTGACCCCTAAGCTAAGACCTCTGCCACTGACCCCTAAGATAAGACCCCTGTGACTGACCCCTATACTAAGACCCCTGCCACTGACCCCTATGCTAAGACCCTGTAACTGACCTCCTGTTCTGGTACCAGGTCTTGACCTGCGTGTCGGTCAAGTTGAGTTTGGCCGCCAGTTCCATCCTGACCCCTATGCTAAGACCCCTGTGACTGACCCCTATGCTAAGACCCCTGCCACTGACCCCTATGCTAAGAGCCCTGTAACTGACCTCCTGTTCTGGTACCATGTCTTGACCTGCGTGTCGGTCAAGTTGAGTTTGGCCGCCAGTTCCATCCTGACCCCTATGCTAAGACCCCTGTGACTGACCCCTATGCTAAGACCCCTGCCACTGACCCCTATGCTAAGAGCCCTGTAACTGACCTCCTGTTCTGGTACCATGTCTTGACCTGCGTGTCGGTCAAGTTGAGTTTGGCCGCCAGTTCCATCCTGTCCTGCACGCTGAGATATTTCTGTCTCTCAAACGTCTTCTCCAGGACCGACAGCTGGTGGTCAGTGAAGGCTGTCCGGGCTTTCCTCGGCTTCTTCGTCTTGCAGCCCATGGAGGACCCTGTGCTGCCGTCACCTCGTTGGGAGTCATGCTCGTAGCTTTCTGGGGAGGTGAAAGGTCAGATTTGTTACTGCTGGGTTTAGAGATGTGAGATTTTTTACTGCTAGGTTTAGATATGTGCGATTTTGTACTGCTAGGTTTAGATATGTGCGATTTTGTACTGCTAGGTTTAGAGATGGAAGATTTGTACTGCTAGGTTTAGAGATGGAAGATTTGTACTGCTAGGTTTAGAGATGGAAGATTTGTACTGCTAGGTTTAGAGATGGAAGATTTTTTACTGCTAGGTTTAGAGATGGAAGATTTTGTACTGCTAGGTTTAGAGATGGAAGATTTTGTACTGCTAGGTTTAGAGATGGAAGATTTTGTACTGCTAGGTTTAGAGATGGAAGATTTTGTACTGCTAGGTTTAGAGATGGAAGATTTTGTACTGCTAGGTTTAGATATGTGAGATTTTGTACCGCTAGGTTTAGAGATGGAAGATTTTGTACTGCTAGGTTTAGAGATGGAAGATTTTGTACTGCTAGGTTTTGAGATGTGAGATTTTGTACCGCTAGGTTTAGAGATGTGAGATTTTGTACTGCTAGGTTTAGAGATGGAAGATTTTGTACTGCTAGGTTTAGAGATGAAAGATTTTGTACTGCTAGGTTTAGAGATGGAAGATTTGTACTGCTAGGTTTAGAGATGTGAGATTTTGTACTGCTAGGTTTAGAGATGGAAGATTTTTTACTGCTAGGTTTAGGGATGTGAGATTTTGTACTGCTAGGTTTAGAGATGGAAGATTTTTTACTGCTAGGTTTAGGGATGTGAGATTTTGTACTGCTAGGTTTAGAGATCTGAGATTTTTTACTGCTAGAGAAGTGAGATTTTGTACTGCTAGAGAAGTGAGATTTTTTACTGCTAGGTTTAGAGATCTGAGATTTTGTACTGATAGGTTTAGAGATTTGAGATTTTTTACTGCTAGAGAAGTGAGATTTTGTACTGCTAGAGAAGTGAGATTTTTTACTGCTAGGTTTAGAGATGTGCGATTGGTTACTATAAGGTTTAGATATTTGAGACTTTGTACTGCAAGGTTTAGACTATTGCTATTTTGTTTAGAAATATGAGATTTTGTTTAGAAATATAAGATTTTGTTTAGAAATATGAGATTTTTTTTAGAAATATGAGATTTTGTTTAGAAATATGAGATTTTGTTTAGAAATATGAGTTTTTGTTTAGAAATATGAGATTTTGTTTAGAAATATGAGATTTTGTTTAGAAATATGAGATTTTGTTTAGAAATATGAGATTTTGTTTAGAAATATGAGATTCTGTTTAGAAATATGAAATTATTTTTAGAGATGTGATATTTTATTTAGAGATGTGAGATTTTTTAGAAATATTTTTTAGACAGATTTTTTTAGACAGATTTTTTTAGAGAAATTTTTTCAGATAGATTTTTTTAGAGAGATTTTGTACTGTTATGTTAAGAGATGTACGATTATTTTTTATTGCTTATTTTACAAGTCACTTAATACTCAAATATAAGGAATTAACTTGAAATGAGGAAGCTACTAGATATAAATTAGAGACTATTAGATCTACTCGTAAAACACGATATTATTGAGGAATTACTGAGTTTATTCAGTTCGATTAAAAATCGAACTCTATCCTAGTTATGATAGGCATAGGTTTTAATGGTTATGTTTGGAATGAATTATCTGCTTCTTTGTGTTGAAATTTAAATATTGAATGACACTTAGATGTATATTGCCGAGTCAAGTAAATATTATACGCAAAAAAAAAAAACAACAAAAAAAAAACAACAAAAAAAACAATAAGAAACAAACAAAAAAACCCAAATAAAACTGTAGCGAGCTTTAAAATGTAAAAAATAGTAAAAATAAACGCGATGGTAGCTATAGAAATCTTTAAAAATTCTTTTTTCTTGTGTGTGATAAGCTTTAATACTATACTGTTATAGCAATGAAATGTCTGATTAATGTTTTTATTTTTTAGTACAATTTTAAGCTTCAATGTTTTAAAACCTGCATTATTATTGCCGCACTTACTGATCACATTGCATTTAAATATGAGAGGTTGCTGGGTTTATGTAAGTGTGTATGAATGTTAGTGTGTGTGTATGTTAGTGTGTGTGTTTAAGGGTGTGGTGTGTGTATGTATGTGTGTGTTTGTGTGTATGTGTGTATGTGTTTGTAAGTGTGTGTATCTTAGTGTGAGTAAATGTGTGTGTGTATCTGTGTGTGTGTATATGTGTGTGTATGTGTGTATGTGTGTGTAAGTGTGTGTATCTTAGTGTGAGTAAATGTGTGTGTGTGTATCTCTGTGTGTGTGTATCTGTGTGTGTGTATATGTGTGTGTAGTTGTTTGTGTGTGTAAGTGTGTGTATCTTAGTGTGAGTAAATGTGTGTGTGTGTATCTCTGTGTGTGTATCTGTGTGTGTATGTGTTTGTGTGTGTAAGTGTGTGTATCTTAGTGTGAGTAAATGTGTGTGTGTGTATCTCTGTGTGTGTGTGTCTGTGTGTGTGTATATGTGTGTGTATGTGAACACAAGCTGAGTTGACTGGCCAATCTACTGTTGTATATTTTTAAAAACTTGTCTTTATACGTGATGGGAGCTTAGGCAACTATTTTAAAAATATTACAATTAAAAATATGCAAATTCGAATCATTTCGCGTTTGAGAATTGCCGAATATTCGGGCTATTGACACACAATTTTCTTGTGTTTTATTTTATCCAAGCTTTTGAAATTCGACACCCTAGGTTAGAGTGTAAAGGGTGATGCCCTGTATATAGCAGGTTAAATTATCATATATCACCTGAATAAGATTTAGCTTGTTAGGAATATAATATGACTAAGCAATAATTGGGTTAGGATTAGCGTTAAGATTTGTATACATAAAGAATTTTAAATTAACAAAAAGAACACTTTGTTTACACCAGACACAGAATGCTAAAAATGTTTTTTGTTATTTTTTGTTTGCATCAATAGTGTACAAAAGTTTGAACGTTTTATTTAAAGTAAGAAATTTAAATGTGTAACTAAATCCATTTTAGTTGTTCAACACATATCAATAGATATTGTATTTTAGTGAAAGATAGTAGATTACAATATTAGAATATTTTACTGAAGTGTTTTTTATAAAACCAAAATCTGGAAAATTAGAATGTTAGTAAAGTTTTAGAGAATGTTTTACTAATGTTTTACATTTAAGTAATTAGAAAATGTGACTAAACTCTAGTGAACTTTACTTTACTTAGCCAATCGACCGCCAGGCTCGAAAAGGAAACTTGACTTTTTACTTTTTTTTAACCTAAACTCTACGTCAATTATTGCCACATGGACCGTCATGTTCTAAAAGGGAACTTTCCTTTTTCTGTTTATCAAACTCTAGTAGTTAGTGGCTAGTGGATAGTGGATTAATCTTAGGAAAGAAACTACAAAAATGTACACATGCCCCCCCCCCCCCCCCCCCAATTTCGAGTCAAACTACACTACACACACCAACAACGATGTGTAAATTGTCTTTGAAACAAGGGAGCTCACTCCTACGACCGATCCAGATCGTAAACATAAACATCTTTCCGTCGCCCTGGCAACGAGCGCTCAAGTCGTGCATGTTGGAGGATTGACGGACAAGATTTAGTGAGTGACACGCGCGCATCAATCAATGTGGCCACACCCACTTCCTCCCCACCCTCCGTCACCCACCCTCCAGCTGGTTTATGTGTTAGGGAGGGAGGGGAAGGGCTCATTGTGTAAGTGTAGTTGATGGGTGTAAAGATTGGAGTAGGAACAGGGGTAGAGCCAGGCGTAAGCGAAGGGTTAAATGTCTTAGGTGAGGCCAATCAAAACTTGAGTTAACGACACGTGAATTGTCTGCCCTTGTTGATGCTCAATTTGATTCGGTTTTACTACAGCAGTTATTGCCTAATAGGTCTGTGATTCAACTTTTACAAGTATTGTTGTTTTTTTTAATGTGTTCCACTTACAAGTCATTACGATTCTGAGTATTGCTTTATAATTATTTTTTCTTTCATATTGTTTTAACAATCTCTAGCTAAGAAAAAAATATGGGAGATAAATTATGGTGTACTTGAATACGTCGAAAATTAAAAACAGGAGACATAATTATAATAATTATTTCTTGACTTTTATTTTTAAAGAGTAACCAAGACTTTAACCTAGCGTCAAGATCAAATTTTTAGCTAGCCAAACTATGACTGAATTCAAGTTATTTTTGTTTTTTTCTTAATTATAATCAAGTTTTACTCATTTAAATTTTAGCATTGCCAATAAAGTTTACTGAAACATTATGTAATTATTCACTAATATTCGGCAGAATTAACCCTTGTCTAGCTTCAGGTTCCAAGATCCCCACAAGAATATATTCCATTGTCGGCGTCAGGCCTGACTCCAGTTGTACATTCCATTGTCGGCGTCAGGCCTGACTCCAGTTGTACATTCCATTGTCGGCGTCAGGCCTGACTCCAGTTGTACATTCCATTGTCGGCGTCAGGCCTGACTCCAGTTGTACATTCCATTGTCGGCGTCAGGCCTGACTCCAGTTGTACATTCAATTGTCGGCGTCAGGCCTGACTCCAGTTGTACATTCCATTGTCGGCGTCAGGCCTGACTCCAGTTGTACATTCCATTGTCGGCGTCAGGCCTGACTCCAGTTGTACATTCAATTGTCGGCGTCAGGCCTGACTCCAGTTGTACATTCAATTGTCGGCGTCAGGCCTGACTCCAGTTGTACATTCCATTGTCGGCGTCAGGCCTGACTCCAGTTGTACATTCCATTGTCGGCGTCAGGCCTGACTCCAGTTGTACATTCAATTGTCGGCGTCAGGCCTGACTCCAGTTGTACATTCCATTGTGGGCGTCAGGCCTGACTCCAGTTGAACATTCCATTGTCGGCGTCAGGCCTGACTCCAGTTGTACATTTCATTGTGGGCGTCAGGCCTGACTCCAGTTGAACATTCCATTGTCGGCGTCAGGCCTGACTCCAGTTGTACATTTCATTGTGGGCGTCAGGCCTGACTCCAGTTGAACATTTCATTGTCGGCGTCAGGCCTGACTCCAGTTGTACATTTCATTGTCGGCGTCAGCCCTGACTCCTGTTGTACATTCCATTGTCGGCGTCAGGCCTGACTCCAGTTGTACATTTCATTGTCGGCGTCAGCCCTGACTCCTGTCGTACATTCCATTGTCGGCGTCAGGCCTGACTCCAGTTGTACATTCCATTGTGGGCGTCAGGCCTGACTCCAGTTGAACATTCCATTGTCGGCGTCAGGCCTGACTCCAGTTGTACATTTCATTGTCGGCGTCAGGCCTGACTCCAGTTGAACATTCCATTGTCGGCGTCAGGCCTGACTCCAGTTGTACATTTCATTGTGGGCGTCAGGCCTGACTCCAGTTGTACATTCCATTGTCGGCGTCAGGCCTGACTCCAGTTGTACATTCCATTGTCGGCGTCTCCAGTTGTACATTCCATTGTCGGCGTCAGGCCTGACTCCTGTTGTACATTCCATTGTCGGCGTCAGGCCTGACTCCAGTTGTACATTCCATTGTCGGCGTCAGGCCTGACTCCAGTTGTACATTCAATTGTCGGCGTCAGGCCTGACTCCAGTTGTACATTCCATTGTCGGCGTCTCCAGTTGTACATTCCATTGTCGGCGTCAGGCCTGACTCCAGTTGTAGAGTTTATTGACGGGCGAGTGTCAGGTCACACGGTCATAAAGTTTGTGTATCACGTGGTACACGCTCAGGTCGCCGCTGGTGGCGCCGTCTAGCGGGCATTAGCATGGGAGATCTAGGCCCTGATGGTAAACTTTGTCCGCTGGAGAGCGCCGGAATGGGCCATAAGAAACACGAGATGATACATTGTTGTGCGGATGTTGGAGAGGTTTGAAGAGTTTCGTAAGTGGCTGATGGAGTGTGTTGTTGTACGAATATGCTAAGTGGAGAGTGTGGTTGTACGGATATGCTAAGTGGAGAGTGTGGTTGTGGAGATATGCTAAGAGCTGTTGAATATTTGATTGTTTTCAATTAGTCGATACTTTGATGTTGAATTATGGCTGCACCCTATTTTCATATTTTGTACGTTTCGCTCCGATGAAGCGGTAAATGATATGTTTATTTACAGTTTGAAGAGTTGAGGGTGGTATTAGCTAATCACTTACAGGATGCGCATGGGTCCTGGCTAATCACTTATCTGATTGCGGGGCGCTGTTGTGGGTGGTAATGATTCCTTGTCTGATTCTGTTTTGTTAAAAAAGGTAATTAGATTTGCCCTACATAGTTTAAACAGGCTTTGTCATGATTTGAAAGAAAAAGATTTTTGTGTAAGTATCAAGAAACATGCTGGACAAAGCTTCCGATATTATTGCGTGTATTCTTGTTATTGATTTTGTTCTGTTGTATTTTATCATTAGCATGTAGAATTGTGTAAGTTACAGATGTATTTTGTTTTACTGTTCAATCTGTTTAGGCCAAGATCTTTAAGCGTATCCGATGCATGGTAGGAAGAGTGGAGCTTGGAACTAAATAAAACTAAGTCGTTGAGAAGGCCATTTTATGTTATATTACGGGCAATAATAAAAGGGATTTAAAATATTTTATTCAAACGGAATCTTTGTATATTTAAACCGAGTTAGAAAAAATATACATTTGGTGTGCGACTAGTTTCATTGCTGTTAGTTTTCCTCTGAGGATTTGGTTGTAATTAAATTGGTCTGAGTATTGTCCTATTATAACCCCCCCCCCCCCACTTTGCTTACTGTTTAAGCTAGCACACATTTTATTTTTTAAATGGTACCTCAGTATACGGGTTTGTCTAGCTAGGGTACGCCATCGACATATCATGGGAAAAAAGTGGAGTGACTACAAGACTAGCAGGGCATGAGAGATTGTGTGCTTTTCATAAACCTTAGGGGATTTCAATTGACCCCCCCCCCCCCCACACGCAACCTTATTATCGAAACCCCTGAGTCACTACAAACTGACCCTCCAACTCCTGTCTGCAGGTAGATATAAATTACTGTTTGCAGTATAATTTTTGTTTTCCGAGAGTTAGGGAAGTTTTGCATTGCTCAATTGTAACATTAATTAGTTATTTAGGGCTTGTTTTGATATTAAATCAAAATAATAAATGCATAAACAGAGGTTTTTTTCAGGCATCGTCAGGCACCCTACGAAGAACGTCTACCTCCCCCTCCCTTTCCCGAAAGGAATAGAATTTTTATAGAAAATATATACTTTTACCAAGCCCCCCCCCCTCCGGAGAAAAAAGTCTGAAAGAAACACTGTGATAGCTTTAAAATGATCAATAAATGCATACCACAATTGTAGATGAGTACATTAAAAGAGGATTTTAATTTTAAATGAATACATTCAACCAAATCAGTGTTTCTTCCAGACTTTTTTCTCCGAGGGTGCACTTGAAATTTTCGGGGTGGGGGGGGGGGGGCAGAGGGAGGGCGGAAGACTTTCTTTGGGGGGGGGGGGGGGGGCGGAGAGATGTCTGGAAGAAACTCTGAACCAAATTGTAATTGAAATGAATGCGTTAAAAAGTTTAAGTCAACTTACTTTCACTCGTTGTGTCTTGGTCTCTACAATCATCATCGTCTTCATCGTCGTCATCATCTTGCATGTCGTCATCAGCATAGCCATCCACATCTATCCTGACCCCGGGGTTCATGTCAGCTGACGCCCCCAGGCGCCGGTCCTCTAGGAGGTTCGTGAAGGGGGAGAAGGGTGAGCGATGGTGGAACAGGCTGGGTCTCACCGGTGTAAAGTTAGAATTCGTCCCCCCGAAATTTAATCCCGGGTAATTGTTCTCCGTGTGGGGTGGAGGGGCGGGGTCCTGTGGTTTAGATTCACCCAGGATGTCTGAGATGAGAAAAGATGTCCGTGCCGTTGTTAATTTTTTGGTGTGAGGGTCGGGTTCTTGGAGGTTTTTGGTGAGGGGTTGTGTGAGGGGTTGTGTGTGGGGTTGTGAGGAGGGTGAGAATCTGAAGGAGGAGGAAGAGGCTGTTGAGGTGTGGTCCATGATGGAGTCCCGTGTGTCTTTGGAAGCTTCGAGAAAATTGTTGTTATTTGGAGACGGGATTGATTGCCGTGTGGGTTGGGCGTCTCTGGGGAACTGCTCTGGGAGCGGCCTGACTGCCCGGGGGTTGTTGTGGAAGATGTTCAAGGAGAAGGCGTCTCGGGGGGTCATGCCCCGGGAGATGAAGTTCATGTGCGAGAGGGGGTCAGATGTGTTGAGGTACGGGTGGGGGTTGAGTCTGTAGTTGAATGCTGAATGTTCGTGTGGGGGTCGTGGGTCACGTGACGAAGGAGGGGAGGAGAGAGGGGAGGAGGTCAGGAAATCGCCGTGGGGAGGTTTGCTCGTGTCGTCATTGATCGAGTCGGAGCGAGAGATTTTGGCGAGGGGTGGGGAGGTTCGTCTGGGTTTTGACTCGGGGTGAGATAAGAAATTGGCACTGAGATGTCTGGAGGTGAGATCCTCGCACGTGTAATCTGGTACCGGGGTGAGTAATTTCTTGGCCAGGCTGGATTGTTCTGTCGAGGGCTTCATCTCGTTTTGTTTTTGGTCAGTTTTTATTTGATCTGGAACACCATGCGGTGTTGGTTCCAGAATTTCCGGAGAGCTTCCTCTTGACGTTGAAAGTTCCGAGACGTTCGACTTGGTGTCGAGGGTGCTTCGCCGTTTGGCGTGGGTGTGGTGTCTGGTACCTGGTGACGTGTCGCAGGGACGGGAGGGGTCAGTTCTGGCAGTCTGCGGGGTGTCAGGCGAGAGGGTGTGGTGTCTGGTACCTGGTGACGTGTCACAGGGACGGGAGGGGTCAGTTCTGGCAGTCTGAGGGGTCCCAGGTGAGAGGGTGTGGTGTCTGGTACCTGGTGACGTGTCACAGGGACGGGAGGGGTCAGTTCTGGCAGCCTGCGGGGTCCCAGGTGAGAGGGTGTGGTGTCTGGTACCTGGTGACGTGTCACAGGGACGGGAGGGGTCAGTTCTGGCAGTCTGAGGGGTCCCAGGCGACAGGGTGTGGTCAGAGGCGTGGCTCGAGACGCTGGGCACGGAGTCGGTGTCGATGACGTCATGGTGAGCCGTGCTGACGTCACAGTCGTCCTTGAGCATTTCCGACAGCGTGTTGGCCGTCGTGGTTTTGGTGCCTGATTTATTTTTCAGCATTTTGGTTTTCATCAGCTTTGGGGGTTATTTTTTCTTTGGGTTTAATAATACATTGAAATTGGAGATTTCTTGAACTAATTCAATTCTGAAAAGCAAAAAAAAAAAAAAAAAAAAAAAAATTAAAAATGAAAAAAGACAGTATTAAGACTTTTATTGAGTACAAAGTAGTGCTCTCCCCCCCCCCCCCCCCCCCCTCTCTATCCAACACTCACACAAATGCACAAACATAAATGTGGAATATGGTTAAAACAGTATCATAGAAATGTAAGAGACAAAACAGTTAGTTTTTAGCTCTGTCATTACCAAAAAGTGTTATATTTTGTGACTACATGACTTTTGTCAATGATTTTTTTCACAAGTAAACTATGAGAGACAACCCTACGGTAAAAACGGGTTATAAATTTAAGACCATAACTCTTCTAATTTTAAAATTAAAAAAAGAAAAAAAAAACACATTCACTCAGAAAATCTCTAGTAATGTGCTTGTATGCTTTAATAAAAAGTTGTGGACATTGCCATTGGATATGTCTAGTTTAGAACATAGCAGCCAATTTTCAATCGTCCCCTCTAGTTAGTGATGTATGTGTGGAGGGGGTGGGGTTGTGCGATTATTGGGGGAGGGGGGGGGGGTTACAATACTTATCCGCACCTGACCCAGACACTCAAAAATGTGTTTACAGGGCGTGTGATTTTTTTGTTTTAGTCGAACCCAACTGCACGTGCTTTTGATGTGCATGTCGTCAAGAGAACTCAATCAATCACGTGCAAACTTTAATGTGTGGGAGGATCGTGTGAATCTCTACCCTAGGCCGAGGTGAGACATCCGTCTTGGTGGTGGGTGAGTGGTCCAGTTGGTAGCAGTTTTAGTACAGTCTAGGTCATTGCTCTTGCTGGTAGGTAACTGGTTCAGTTGGTAGCAGTTTTAGTACAGTCTAGGTCAGGGGTTCCCAACCTTTTTTTACTCTAGACCACATTCTAAAATATCGGTAGGGTGGCGGGCACCACCTATTTTAAATCCACAAACTCCTTCCAGAGGCGTAGCGACCCTTCCCGTCACCCGGGGACAAAACTTTCGATTTGCACCCCCCCCCCCTCAAACTTTTGATTTGCACCCCCCTCAAATTTTCGATTTGCACCCCCCCCCCTTCAACCTTTCAATAATGTTTCTGAAAAAAATTCGGTCTCTGTCGAATAGTGAGAGGCGGGCACATACGAATCGTTCGGCGGGCACGGGGTTGGGAACCCCTGGTCTAGGTCATTGGTGGTAGGTGACTGGTTCAGTTGGTAGCAGTTTTAGTACAGTCTAGGTCATTGAACTTGGTGGTAGGTGACTGGTCTAGTTGGTAGCAGTTTTAGTACAGTCTAGGTCATTGATCTTGCTGGTAGGTGACTGGTCTAGTTGGTAGCAGTTTTAGTACAGTCTAGGTCATTGAACTTGGTGGTAGGTGACTGGTCTAGTTGGTAGCAGTTTTAGTACAGTCTAGGTCATTGAACTTGGTGGTAGGTGACTGGTCCAGTTGGTAGCAGATTTAGTACAGTCTAGGTCATTGATCTTGCTGGTAGGTGACTGGTCTAGTTGGTAGCAGTTTTAGTACAGTCTAGGTCATTGAACTTGGTGGTAGGTGAGTGGTTCAGTTGGTAGCAGTTTTAGTACAGTCTAGGTCATTGATCTTGGTGGTAGGTGATGGTTCAGTTGGTAGCAGTTTTAGTACAGTCTAGGTCATTGAACTTGGTGGTAGGTGACTGGTTCAGTTGGTAGCAGTTTTAGTACAGTCTAGGTCATTGAACTTGGTGGTAGGTGACTGGTCTAGTTGGTAGCAGTTTTAGTACAGTCTAGGTCATTGAACTTGGTGGTAGGTGACTGGTCTAGTTGGTAGCAGTTTTAGTACAGTCTAGGTCATTGATCTTGGTGGTAGGTGAGTGGTCTAGTTGGTAGCAGATTTAGTACAGTCTAGGTCATTGAACTTGGTGGTAGGTGAGTGGTCTAGTTGGTAGCAGATTTAGTACAGTCTAGGTCATTGAACTTGGTGGTAGGTGACTGGTCTAGTTGGTAGCAGTTTTAGTACAGTCTAGGTCATTGAACTTGGTTGATGGAGATTGGTTCAGTTGTTAGCATAGCTTAAGTTGTACAAAGTTGTACAAAGTCTAGCGCGGGTCGAAAACTGCTCTAACTCAGAGCTTAGCAGAGCTTAAAATAGTTTTAATAGAGAATTCAGCAGAGTTTATACACAGGTTAGATACTGTCAAAAGCCCACTTAATACAACACCTAAAACAGTTTCAATAGTTTTTTGATAATTTTCAAAGATGCTTTAGGAAACATATTTTTAACTAGATTTGTAACAATTTAAAAAAAAAATTTCAAAAACATCATCCGACACTTTTTTAAAAGCAGAATTTAGAGTACCCTAATTTTTATTTAGGTTGTTGTTTATGAAATGTACACATCTGTATTCGTTGGCTCATTTTTGGGCTAAGTGAAGGTCGTTAATGTTGTTGCCGTGTTAAGTTACATAAAAATGTCTTTTTCATGACGTTTCTCACCAACCACCGCACACCCCCCTCCTCCCTTTTTTTCTTGAAATTTTCAAGTTTAAAAAGGTTAAATTTGATGGATTGGGCAATAGATTTTGTGGACGAATATTTGCCTTAAATCTTAACCCCAAATTTTTACAAATTTTTTAATTAACCTTTTTAAAGTGAGCTCTTGCAAACTATCAAACTAGTGTGGTGACGTTAATTAGAAGAGTGTGAGGGTAATTAGTTTTCCTTGATGCCTAATTTAAGATTCTCGACTACAGCGTGTGCTTATAATAGGGCATTTATATATTCTGTTTTATGTGGATTTCTTTTATGTTAATTAATGAACAAAAGAAGGTTCACTTTTTTGTGATGGGGACATGGGGAGATAAGAGGAGATAAGGGGAGGCTAGGGGAGATAAGGGGAGAATGGGGAGGCTAGGGGAGACAATGTGAGACTATGGGAGACAATGGGAGATAAGGGGAGATAATAGGGGAGACTAGGAAAGGGAGATAAAGGGAGAATGGGGAGGCTAGGGGAGACAAGGGTAGACAAGGCCAGTGGGAACAGATTGAGTTGTCCAGTTTTTGAAAGTATAACAATCTTGTGATAAAGTATCTGATGTATCTTGTGTATACCACATTTGTGTTTTTACATTTATGTTCCTTATGTCCCAGTTGTGCTGCCTATGTCCAATTTGTGTTGTGTGTGTCACATTTGTGTTATCTAAGTCACGTATGTGTTGTATATGTCAAATCTATGTTGTTTGTGTCAAATTTATCTTACGTATGTTACATATGTGTATGTCACATCTATGTTGTATATGTTACATCTATGTTGTGTATGCCACATATGTTGTGTATGCCGTATATGTCACATCTATGTTGTATATGTCACATCTATGTTGTGTATGTCACATCTTTGTAGTGTACGCCATATATGTTTTTATGTCTTATATGTTCTGCATGTCTCATATGTTGTGTATGTCTCATCTATGTAGCGTATGTCTCATATGTTGTGTATGTCTCATCTATGTTGTGAGTGACTAAACCATGTTGTGTGTGACAAATATCTTGTATATGTTACATCTATGCTGTGTATGGCAACTAACAAAACAATTGACATTTTAACAAGACACAAACAGAGAGACTGCTAACATGTGATTGTCTATTGTGTGTGTACAAGGTGTGAGTACTTTAAGTCACGTCTGTTCTCTGACTGCTGGTTGTGAGAGAAAAAACTGTATCAGCTAGCCGTCATGACAAATAAAACGTCATGATCAAGTGGTGTATGAAAAAAGTGGACTTGAGCTCATCCAGTTCTAAAGCGTACCCGGCAGCTTTTGAGAAATTACAGTTTTCTGATTTTGCATTGTGAATAAGACTTTACATTGACGTGTTAGATATACCTTGGGGTGTAATTGATTTGAGTTAATGCTTGATATTTTTTTGGTGCTAATAATAGATGATCAGTGGTAATTGCTTCTTACCGATTTAAAAAAAACATTTTGCTCATTTAGGAGATCATAGAGTCATAATTAGCTGTGCATACATAATACGAAGTACGAAGCAATCATGGTTTGCCCTTTTTTGAAACTGTACGAAGTATGAAACAATAGGGAGTGGCGCGTATTTACATTGTTCGAATTATGAAGCAAGCATGACGAAATGCGAGACGGAAGCTATAAAAATTGAGATTGACGTCTGCTAAAGCTATGGCGTCAGCCAATCAATTAATTTACCGACCTTAAGCACGAAGTTTATGTGTAGTTCTTGGCTCTGGACATTTACTGTAAAATACAAAATTTGGCTAGCTTTTTCAACGGCTTGTGTAACATATCAAATATGTCCTCAGCCAAAGACGTACATAACTAAAAAAAAAAAAACTAAAATAAATGAATAATTTCTTCGGTCAAATTGTTATATTATAACTAAAAATGCTAAAATAAT